GGGGCTGCCAGCCCTGGAGAGGGGCTGGGGGGGTGCTGGGGCTCTGGGATGCTTGGTCCCTGCCGATGGGGATGTTGGCCCCCTCCCTGGCTGGGATGCTGGGATACTGAGATGCTGGCCCCCTCCCTGGCTGGGATGCTGGGATGCTGGCCCCCTCCCTGGCTGGGATACTGGGATGCTGGCCCCCTCCTTGGCAGGAATGCTGGGTCCCTGCCGGGCCAGGGTGCCACGCGCAGTGGCGGCAGCCCAGCTGGGTGCCTTGCAGGATGCCCGGCTGTACGAAGACTGGAAGTGGTTCCGGTGCCCCACGCTGCTGGAGGTGCTGGAGGAGTTCCCCTCGGTGCGGCTGCCGGCCTCCCTGCTGCTCACCCAGCTGCCACTGCTCCAGCCGCGCTACTACTCCATCAGCTCCGCGCCCGGCCCCAGCCCCGGGGAGATCCACCTCACCGTGGCCGTTGTCACCTACCACAGCGAGAGTGAGCGGGGACGGCGGGGAGGGGGACAGGAGGTGCCCCGGGCGGGGGGCTGCTACCTTCTGCCCTGCCACCCACACGGCAACACCTGCTCACAGTGCCCCTGTGCTGCATGGCCCCAGAGCACCCCCCTGGTCCCCAGGGCATCTCAAGGGTCCCCAGAGCATCTTGAGGGTCCCCAGAGCATCTTGAGGGTCCCCAGGGCATCCCCTTGGTCTCCAAGGCATCTCAAAAGGTCCCCAGGGCACCTCCAGGGTCCCCAGGGCATCCCCTTGGTCCCCAGGGCATCTCGAGGGTCCCCAGAGCACCCCTTGGTCCCCAGGCCCCCCAGGGTCCCACCCTGCCCCATCACACAGTGCCCGGGTGCTGTCGTTGGCATTTCCCCAGGGATGCGGAGCTCCCCCCGGCACCAGTCCCCGTCCCCCCCCCAATCCTCCAGCCCTGCCCGGGGATGGCGGTGTCCGCAGCCCCTGCCGGGGGGGGGGGGGGTTGCCTGCCGGGGGGGGCTGCCAGCCGCAGCCCCTCCAGCCCCTCTGGTCCCCGCAGATGGGCAGGGTCCCCTGCACTACGGAGTCTGCTCCACCTGGCTGGCGCGGCTGCAGCCCGGGGACACGGTGCCTGCCTTCATCCGAGGGTAAGGGGCGGCCCCGCCCGACCCCCCCCACC